TTATATAATATGTAATAATATATAATGCACCAATAAATGTTGTATATCTCTCTCTTCAAGAGATAAATATATAAACGATGGTATCACACGATTGTCAAAAAGACGTGTATTTGTAGTGAACATTTAATCATTGAGAGCAGCTAAGTGAGGCTTAACGATGTTAGCTGTTGTCTGGAAGGTTCACAACGATCAGCATTAAATTACGGTAGCCCCTGCGGCCCTGATGAGTACTTAGTTTACCTTGAGGTGCTGAAAGTACCGTTTTTATCGCTTTAATGGCTAGACGCTCGATTAAGAAGAAAGGTAAACCCGGATCGTTCCTCCGTTGGCTTCCATTTACGTTAATTATCATTTAAAAAATCTTGATATAAAATTTCATTCATTCGAGAACGAATGCTTGGTTGTCGTATTTATATATGTATAACTCAAAATACATAAAAATATAATCGTCATTTATACTTATATATTTTGCGAAAATTTGCTACGATTTTTGTTTTAATGTGATGATACACAAGTCAGTGAAAACTCACCAAATAAAGAAGGTGGCTCGACGTCGCGTACCGAAAGACTGGAGGACGCCTGAGATGCGCTGGATTCAATGCTCTGAGTACATCTGAGGCGCTTTCTGAGTTTCGGCATGTCGAAGGGCAGATCCCTCAAGTCTACACTGGTCGCGCTTCCGGATGTAGTGGCGTCCTGTTGCATTAGCAACCGTCTTCTACGAAGCTTTGGCATGTCAAAGGGCAAATCCGACAGTTCCGGCTCGTTGTCGACAAGATTGATATTATCTAGCTGCGGCTTCAACAAGTGGAAGCCGAAAGGTTTGCACTTGATACCCGCGCGGGACTCGATCGAAATACCGCTGTCTGATCCTTGGATCTCCGCGTCGCCCGACGACGACGACTGTAGTGCCAGATTAATGAGATTTTTATTCTGCGGTGTTCGCCGCTTCTTGAAGGATGTGTCCATGGGCGAGGTGACCGCGTTTGTATTGGCCGCGTTCGTATTGTTACCCGCGGTGACGTTGTTCTCCGTGATGACGTTCTCCTCAGGTGAGGCCTTTTGCGAATTATTGTTGCGATTGTTATCGGAAGTCTCCGAGGCCGGTTCTTGCGACGACTTGTCGGAGATCGGCGAGAGAATGTGCAACTTGGTGGCGTGATGGGTCAGAAAGCCCGAAAGCGACGGTTGATGTTGGTGATGATGGTAGCAGTTGCTGCCGCCGCTATCCGAGCTATGGGAACTCAAAGACCTGGTGCTGTGTCGACTGTCGGAGCTACTGGTTGACCGGTTGCCTTCGCTGGTACTGCTTCTGATAGATTCCATGCTGCCGCCGCTACTGCTGGTCGCCATACTCTCGGTGCTGGAGTAGCCGATCCGGCGTCGCGATGTGCGCAGCTTGAACTCCAAGAGACCGGCATCTCGTCGCGCTGGTCGCACGAGATCGCTCTCCGCTTCGTGAGGCCTACCCTTGAACTCCATTATCGGTCTGCTCTCGCGAATCAGACTGCGCGGCCGTTGCCGCTCTTCTCGGGGCCTATCTTTAAACTCCAAAATAAGTTCCTTGTCGAATCGACGACCCTGCGAAGAGTCGATGTTCTCCTGAACAAAAGTCTTCGGCCGACTCTTGATCTCGAGAATGCTGCCCTCGCTGCTCTGTGGCGAGTCCTTAGCGCGCAACGACGACTTCACCGGCAGCCGCATATCCTTCAAGCGAGGATGATCGGGCTGCGACGGAAGATTCGGCGCGCTGCGAATATTCAGTAGCAAATGATCTCGATTCCCGTGAAATTTCGCAGGTAAAGGCGCGGTCGATGGTGGCGATGGCGTATAATCGCGCGCCGGTAATCTCGGCGATCCCGTTTTTTCATCGCTCGAATTAATTTGGAGGGACTCAATATCCTGGGACAAAGTGGATATATTGTCTGATTGCTGCTGCTGCTGCTGTTGTTGTTGCTGTTGCTGCTGCTGTAAGCGGCTCGGAATCGGTTTTGGGCGGAGAAGTACGACTTTGCGTCGATGGTCCTTGCTTGATTGCGACTGGCCGGTATAAGGAAGTGGTTGCACAAGCTGCTGTTTCGACGTGTCTGTCGACGAACTTGTTCTGCTCGCGAGCGCGACGCTGCCGCTCCGTATCTGCGTTATTCAAATTTGATTTTCACAAACATAATTACGGCACATTTATATTAAGTGTCAAATAAAGCGAGCTTGATGCTTTACCGGAGCAATATGATGCTTATAGAAAAAAAAATTGAACAAACGACAGAAGAATTTTTAAGTACAAATTCTACAAACGCATTCATAATTTAATATAAAACTTAAAAATAATATTCGAGATATTTTAATAATCGCTCAAAATTTGTAGGTATACGTACCTGAGAGTGCAGTACCGCATGATTGGTTATGCGATCGAGATCGTCGAGATCATCGTCGGATCGATTGACCTTGCAATCGAAGGCCGTTTCGTAGAGGTGGCGTTGCCTGGCCATTCCTTCCTCGTCCTCGTCCTCGAGCTCCGCGTCCTCTTCCTCCTCCTCTTCCCCCTCGTCCTCACCCTCCACGTCGTCCTCGTCCTCGACGAGTATCGGCTGCGGATCTATCCTTCGTGTACGTCGTAGTTTGCGCACCTGATGCCGCGTCACTTGCGGCTGCCGTCGTTCTAGCTCATCCTCCTCCTCCTCGGGCGATGCGACGCACGTGCAAACGGCGGTGGGCAAATCATGGCTCAGTAGTCTATGAGGTGGCATGAGGGTGTGATCCCACTCGGTGATGATACACGACGAGAGGATCTCGCCTCTGACTGGGACAGCATGCTCGTTCCCCGATGTGGGGCTCACCAGATCCTGGCTCCGATAGTACGGCGGTGGCGGCGGCGGTGGTGGCGGCTGCTGTTGTTGCTGATAATGCCGTGGTTGCGATGAGTAGGAGCCGCCATCACCCGCTACCGAGTTCCTCTTCGGTATACCGGGTGTACGTGAACGCTCGCCCGGTACATCGAGGCTGACGCTTTTCCGGTACTTGTTCGGCTGCGACTTGGATAGTTGCTCCGGTACCTTGAAGAGATCGCCGTAGTAATACGGCGACGGATGACGCACCGGTTGGTTGGATTCAGTCGGGGATTGATCAGTGAGATGTACCAAAGCGACACAGTCAACGAGTAAGCCGTCGGTCGACGTTAAAGTATCCCGATCCGCCGACGGGGCGCGAGTCGAGGAGGAAGCGTAGACGCTGTTCTTCCGTTTTCTGACGTTAACGAGCTCTTCGTCGTCCTCGCAGGATGATCCAGACGCTGACGGATCTAAAAAGAGTGATTAAGAAATCGTAAAATGTTAACATCGGCATAATTGTAAGACTTCTGATTAACATAAATATGCTAATAGTTCTTAGTGATCGCGTTATATGCGTGAAAATATCTTGGCTTTAAAAGATCAAGTCTTATCACGCGACAGGAATTTATCAGCTGTAAGCACAGAATTCAGAAGATTTACGCGTAAAAAGATGTCCTAACCATATAAAGCCCACTTTTGCAAAGACGAGAAGCCCGAAAACGGTGCAAAATTTTCATAATCGTTTTGTTGTAGGGGAAGAAACCGGGGTCGTCGAAGAAAGAGAACGAAAAAGCTCACGGGAAAAGCAAAATTGCCTTGAAATGGCAGCCTCGTCTCCTTAAAAATCACTTCCTCCGTCCGTGGGATATTACCGTAATGGTTCCTGGTTTTCTTGCTTGACATGTCCTATCCTTCTCCACCCCCGCGACAAACTACCCCTTTCGTCCTCTTCGTATTCGTCGACCCGTTCGAGCATCGTCTAATGCCTCTTTAGGCTTTACGATCGTGTCATGGCCATTCGCGGCAGCAAAGAAGACGGAGAAGGAGAGATCGAACAAATGGAGGAAGCGCGAAATTACGCCGACACCCGGTACATTATATAAGCAGTGTACACACGCAGGATAGACGAAAGGACTGAAGATAATGGGCGCATTATGCTCGACCAGAGAGGGTCTCGCCGAAATCCTTCCTTGTTCCCTCCCTTCGGGAGGGCGACGAGAGTGTGGCGCGCCGTAAACCATGTTGGTTGCTGCTTCTGACAGGGACCGTCGCGGATATATGAACAAACTTGCCGAACGGAAGAAAAAAAATGATTATCGAAGATCGCTCTGGTTCGTCGCGTCGCCCAGCTAGCGCTGTTCGACCAGACACAAAGGCCCGCAATATCAGAATGCGGATATTTCGCTCGGAATACAATGGGCAGTCTTTTGTCACAAAGTAATTTGTTTTCGATCGATCTCCATGCAAAATATACGAGTAATTATTATACCATATGCGCGTACACAATGTAATTACTTAATGATACATATATTACGCTTTGAGCATTTATCTTGCCATCTGACGCGTTATATTTTATTAATATGTCTAGAGTTAACAAAGGCTCAGCTAACAATTTCGCCCAGTGGCATAATTATACATCAAAGATATTACATTGCTACAGTACACTAGATATTTTGTAATTGTTAGACATGAATATACGGCGTATTAATTATGCCTTAGTAAATTGGAGTTTAGTCTTCTTCATCAACACATTTCGACGTAAAATTATATAATAGGCACAGATAAATAAACAATTGTGAAATTATATAAAGTTGTATATATAACTTAAATCACGTTGTACTATATTAAAAAATTATGAATAACTCGAAAAGAACCTACGATTTCGATAGAATGAGCACATTCCCATACGATGCCTGTTACATAAAATCAGTACGGAATTGATCACACGCGGCAGGATATCCTCAATTTCCGGCGCATTTGCCTATCGCGCGAGGGCTTAAATTTCATTCTCCATGGTCAAATACAAAGGAGCGACGCCGAGGAAATCGCGAAGCGCGAAACGGGGAATTAATTCCTGGACAATGAATCCGGGAAATTATCACATGGCTCGCCCGGCGACGCGAAAGGGGGACGAATCGCGATTTCTCTTTTCACCTTCTTCTCTGAATTCGCGGCACATTCTTGTCAGCAAGTGACAAACGACGAAGAAACTCCGAATACCGAGGCTGCGGAAGAAATGGTCCTTGCGAAACCAGACGTTGTCTACGTATTCAAACTTTCACAAAGGAGTAGAATCGCGGGAAGCGACTGATGACCCACCCTCGCCGCAGGAATATAAAACGGGAGCGAAGATCTATTACTTTCTTTCTTTTCATCTGCAGCTACTTTTCCGACATTGTTCGATAAAACTTTAAAATTTTTCACCGTTAAACTTTTAAACATTCAAGAAAATACGGCGGTACGTAGGAAATTAGAGAACGCGATCGCGATCTACAAATTTAATAATAAAGATACGATATCCGAGTGTTGCTGTCTGAAAAAGGAATATTAACGAGAAAACGCAATATTACTTTATCCGAGCGCATTTGGTGTAATATCACGATAAAATTATATCAGAGATAGTATGACGAGGGGAACACAATTCCTCGGAAACAAAAAATAAAATGAAGAAGACTTCCCGTGGGAGTGAGATCGAAGAGAAACATGAATATGTATTTGCATCTGTTTCGTTCATACAACTCGGAAAAGATGTAGGATTAAAGTTCCGAGAGCAAATATATTAAAAGATTGCAATAAGCAAGAAAACGATTTTTGCCTGCTCCATTTCAATATTTGAAGCAATTTAAAAATGAAAAATGTAAATCAAGCAAAAACGTCTCCGTATCTTCATCTTAAGATGTCAAACGAGATTTCTTATTTTGTTTTTTTTATGTTGTGCGAAAATACGGAAAAAATTACTTCTGCTCAAAATTAATCTGTGGATCGATAGACATTGATCTCTCATCAAATTCGATTACTCGCTTGCAAGCAAGAAAAATTGCAATCGATACCAGGTTGCCCATCGAATATACGCACGCAACATACATATAAAGAAATGCTGTACGTTGGCACGTCGCCAAATCGCAGCGATATTGATTACCGATCAATAATCAGATTTGCCAGATATCTGTCGACTGTTCGAAAGGGAGAACAGGAGTTAAAAAATTGATAATCGATCAGTTCGATTAAATTGAGATGGGTTACATTTGAAAAACGTACACGTCCATTTGCGTGTGACGTGAATGGATATTTTAAATTTGTGAGTAAAAAGGATCTATATAATAGAGATTTATATAAGGAAGCTTAGTTCAGTTATTCTATCTTCAGCTGATGAACAAGATATCTGTATGAATTATATAACATTGAATGAATATTGTCTTGAAATTGATATATTTTTTTACAAATATTATTTTATTGAATTATTGTATTACATACAAGAACATAAAGGAAAATAATTAAATTCTATGTAAACTAAGTAAAGACAATAATATAAAACATGCTGGTGTGGAGCTGTAAATAGCTAATTACATAACAGTACGATCGGATGAGTAGATGAGTCAGTAACGGATACTACATGCGAATGAGTGATCGAGTGACAGAAAATGAAAGAGGGTACGCGTATACGGAGTTGGGGGCGACGATACGCTGCGCTGGGGTGGTACAGTGGTGCCTACCCTAATGAATCTATTACTGCCGGTGAGCGACAACCCTCGCCTAGCAATCACTACAGATAACACGAAACGCTGTCGCATGCATCCTGTTTACATGGATCTGCAGATAACGGAGATGAACGTCCGAAACGATCTATCTCAGAACTACATATATAGTACTGGAATCATGTGTAAATTATCAACAAGGATACAAAAGAAACACGCGCGCGATGCCGAGGTTATCTGCGTCGATTAAGGTCAGCGGATAACGATGTTATGATATTGCAATCAACTTTCGATTAGAAACACTTCACCAAGATCATGGAACGTGATTCCTAACAACCTACTATCGGGAATCATTTATGAACCTATAACACATGGCTCGCATGCCTATCGACCAAATTAGTTGGAAATAATTAAATGGATAATATAAGCTTGGTTTGATTCGATAATTATCATTCATCAATCAAGTCTCTAAAGCTTTCGAATTTACAAAAAATTTTACATCATTAAACAGATTGCATCTTTTAAAATAATATTAATTAATATGTAAAACATTTTACGAATAATGAGAGATATATTATTAATCTTATTTTTTAAATAAATTTTGTTATATTGGAGCAATTTAAAATAAGATATATAATTACATCTTGCTGTAGATTACGATATTATAGGTATCTCTATTTTGGAAAAAAAAAACAGTATCATTCTAAGAGAATATTATATGTTGATAACATAAATTTCCCCGGACTATCCTAGCGTATTCTGTCTTGGGCTCGGTTATATATTCCGGAACACTCGCGACTTTATCTAGACTGTGATGGTCACGACACTATTTATACTATTTTTCGTTTCCTCTGCAATTGACGGCCGGCAAAATTTCGAGGGCGAGCGAGATTTCGGGGAAACCCTTATATAAAGAAGGTGAACGGCGACACAAGCTCGGAGCCACTTCACTCTGCTTTTTATTAGATATTGTCCCCGTAACATGACCGAAGTGACAATGATGGGTCCGCGGAATATATGGATTGCGGGATTGTATCGTCTTCTACGAAGAAAAAAAGAAATAAGGGAGGAGTATAAGAACGGTCGTGCAATTGCCTGATCTTACTGGACAACATCCGCTGGCCGCTTTCAGAGCGTCTTACGAAGTAGCTTGAAGATTACAGGCCGAGCCGAGCAACGATGAAACGAAAGGCAATCTTGGTTATTGGCTCGGTCGCGCCAAGATTCACAGTTACGATCGCGAGATTGGCTGAAGTATTTTCGTGCAAAATGTGTCAGCCGTGTCGAAGGTCGTAGAAGGATAACATTTGGTTGCAGGAAGATGAACATAATGCACTTGAAGATTACCAAATAAGAAAAAAAGGATCAAACATATAAATATTGTAATGTCGTTCTTGTTTTTATGAATAATTCAAATTGACCAATTAGTTTTGTCTATAATTTCGCTTTTTTAAATGTAATATGTGAATTAAAGCAAAAATCATTTGCAGTGTAACACAGCGATTCTAACGTCGGTGTCTCTTTGTAGAAGTACATCTTCCTCGAGTCCCTTTTATTACGCCTCGTCGTCTTTCCGAAGTAAAAAGAAGCTACTAACAAGCCAAAGTTATCAGGGTCACAGCAACGATTACCAGCTGTCACTACAAAGAGAGGAAAACGTCGAAGGAAAAGGCAGGCGGACCACTTTGAAAGGAATCCGTCTCTTCTTTAGAAATTCTGTCCTACACGAACGCACGTACGAACATGTACGCATAGTCGAGATGATTGAAACAGCG